CTTTCTTTTATTTCTAGAGCACTTGGATACTGATGAAAGGACTGTCGTCACTGTCATGTGAAAAAACCTAACTTCAATTTTGGTGTTTATAATCTACTTGAAGTAACTGATTATGGTCATTTTTTGTGCTGTCAGAACCCACTGTAACATTTTAGAAGCAGATCATCATTCATCTGAAAATGAGGTTGTGTTTGTTCATTCCTGAGAGCTGTGTTTGCAGCGCTGCGCTTCATGAGAGGACTTCAGTCAATCAAATGAAAAAATGGTCCAGATCATTTATCATTTGTGACGTTTGGTGACTGATCTTTGGTACAAACACATATGTATGCAAATATTAATGGTGAGCAGTCCACTGTGCTGCATCAGAGACCTTATATACCTCATTTCCATGTCCATGCTGACACATTAGGAGAGGTTTTTATTATTTGTGATTCAGCTGCAGGTTTTGTCCCTCAGGGAAATAACTGTAGAGTGTTCCAATCTTTTCTTGATACACGCCCCCCTGATCTCCTGATAATGACGATGGGAAATATATGTTTTCTCCACACTTCAGAAATTCATCTCTTCCTCTGACAATGGTGCGCAGTATTGTCTGTGTATAAATATCTTTCTCTGTGTCTTAGCAGGCATCACTGCTCGCTCTTCTGTAAATAGTGTTTATAGGCCATTTTGTAGGTGAATATTTTAATAATAAAAATGTTAAAATGTTTTGTGCTTCTGGTGTCTTTTTGGGTTTATTTTTGCATCATGAATTTCATCTTAAAACAGTGAACAATGTCTTATTACAGCATCCATTTTACATGTATGCGTAGGCAACGTGGTCGCCACAATAAATGTTGGCATCGTATGTTCGTGCAAACCACAGATATGTTACATTTAAATGTTATTATGTAGTGGCTACGTTGAAACTTAACATTTCAACAACGCTGCGGTTAAGGTGTTGTTATGTTTGAGCACAAATATAGCTTGGTTATGGTTAGGAAAAGTCCATGTTTTGGCTTAAAATAACTGTTTTTAGGGCACAGTCTCCGCTGGAAAAATGACGTTACATCCACATCTGAAACACAACCATTATTGGTGTCTAAAAAGGCACTGGAAAAACAGCAATGGGCAGCTAAAAAATTACCAAGTTTTGTGCCTAAAAGCTTCTGAAAAAAACAGAAACAGGTTTCTACAAAAAGCCACTGCAAAGACAGCGATGAGTGACTTTAAAACGCACATGTCTGGTGCCTTTTAAACAACTCAAAAATCAGTGACAAGCACTAATGTAACATCCAAATTTGGTGCCTAAAAAGCCACTGGAAAAATAGTCATGGGTCACTAAAAAAGATGCTAGAAAACCAGTGACAGGTCACTACAAAACCCCACATTTGAGGCCTAAAAAGTCGCTGGAAAAACAGCCATGGGTAGCTAAGAAACACCCATATTTAGTAGCTAAAAAGCCACTTGAAAAAACAGCGATGGGTCACTAAAAAGGTGCTTGAAAACCAGCGACAGGTTTCTACAAAAAACACATTTGAGGCCTAAAAAGTTGCTGGAAAAACAGCGATGGGTTGCTAAGAAACACCCATGTTCAGTGGATAAAAGTCAGTAGAAAAACAGTGGCAGGTCACTAAAAAAGCTGCTGGAAAAACAGTGATGAGTCACTTCAAAATGCCCACGTTTGGTGCCTTCAAAGCATCTGAAAAATCAGCAACAAGCCACTGATAAAATACTTGCGCGTGGTGCCTGAAAAGCCACTGGAAATACAGTGACAGGTCATCAAAGAAGCAGCTGGAAAACCAGCAACAGATCACTACAAAACACCCACGTTTGGTGCCTAAACAGTTGTTGGAAAAACAGTGATGGGTCGCAAAAGAAGCATCTTGAAAAACGCAACATGTCACTAAAAAGCACAGCGATGACATCCCCTGCACTTCTAGATGAAAAAGTCGGCCCACCCACTACATCACTTTAGAAACTTTGTAAAGGTACATAGAAAACATGCAAATGTGCAAATGTAACATACAATGCCAAAGAAATCTTCTGGTGACTGAGCTGTCGTGGGAACATGATAAATATTTTCTTTTCAAACAAGTAATCTCAGTTGTCAAATAATGGTCCGGATAGTTTAGACATCACAAAAATCACCTGGCTGGAAATATATTAATTGTAGTTTATCACGAGGAGGGAAGTCAGACCAAAGCCAGTTTCACTGAATGCACAAAAGTTTAACTGAAAGACAGTTATTTTTGAATGGTTTATTTAAAGAAGGAATAGTGTCCATCACACTGAAGATGTAAACTACTAGTTAGCTAAAATAGTTTTAGTTTGACTGGTGAAACAGGCAGCTTTACACCCAGGGCCCAGTACCTCCCTCTGTTCATATCACTGGAGAGCCATGATTGAAGACCACTGACCTGACCCTGAAACTAACACAAACTAAAAGTAATATAATTGTATCTTTGAATTTCAGAGCTGATGTCTTAGTTTCAGCGGCCTCTGTCAAATTACGCCCCTCTGCCTCTAAAAAGCTTGTTTCTCATTATGTAGTAGTTTTGGCATGTTGAGGATAATCACCCCTTATTCCCCACTTGTTCCCCAGACCTGCGGTTTCTGTGCTGCCTTCAATGACCCTCAGAATGTCCCAAGCTGTGTGTGCCTTTTACCAACCCTTCCCATTGAAGTGCTTAAGATTGGATGTGAAATAAATAGACTTAATGTGTATCATAAGATTGAATTGGATATGGCACTGTGACAGCAAAGTTAAAGGTGGCAACAAATGCAACATTTTTCAACCATTTTAGTTAATTTTTAGTAACTCTTGTACTTATTTTACTGCAGTGTTACTCTATCAGCCAGTGGTTCACTTCATATCTTGTATATTTTGAATATTTTGACTGATATTTAATAAGCTATTGTTTTAAAAACTGGGCCAAGCGTGTGAGCCTGACCTGAGGAACCCACTGGTTGTTCTGGTTGTTACTATTCATTCTTTAATGAGTATTAATTGTTATTGTATTTTGTGTTACTATAACGAAGCATTCTTTGGCACAACAATTTCCTTCAGGATAAATAAAGTTCTACTGAACTGAATTAAACATAATCATACAATGACAACAATTATGGATAGAAATTTTACAATCTGGCTTCAGTGCTTAATGGTTGTTGTTTATTTTTTTTTTATTTTTTTATTTTTACATATATACATTTTATTTATAATTGTTCCATTTTTTGCAAAATTAAAAAAAGAACAAATTCTAATACAAATAATAATAATAATAATAATACTAAAAAAACCTCACCAGCAAAAAAAAAAAGCCAGTCAATTGAGTTTATTGCAGAGTGCCCACTTGTTCATAGGTCCTACATAAATCCAAAAAATAAAATATTCCAGTGTTCAGAAAAAGTGCAAGTAATGTCGGCTTTGGTTTTATATACAGTGTCCATCAATCCAAGTGCAATCTCCTATTTATTAAATAGTGCAATCCACTACTTATTAGTACAAAATTAAGTACAGCTTGATATTCTTTTTTTACACTATTTATTTATTTTATGGATGATTATGTTGTCTTCCTTTTGACTTGCTTGTTTTGTTATTGACTTGGCACCTGATCAGATGTAGCACACACTCCTCTGTGCGTCAACCAGTCAAGTTGCAGTTTACATCCATGTATGTCCAGACTTATGACCGTGTATGTATGACTGTTTAATTTCTCCTAGCTATTTGGGATCAATAGGACCCGATAAGTATAAAAAACAAAACATTGTCAATGATAATTAAGTCCCAATGTCCTCAAACGAGACAACAATAAAGTCTGGATGTCCTCGAACAAGTACTCCCTAATTAACTGTCTTAGCTTATTACTGTTGCTAAAATGTGTTGCCAAACTGAACTACAAACATTATTGATATTAAATAAACAAGTTTCAACCATAAAATGTGATCATGTTTTGGACCATCTCCACATTTGTATCGGGATCTGCTGCAGACTGACTTGACAGAGATGGCTGGCATCTTGTTTTTACATGGATTAGTGTATTGTGGTCCCACTACCACTAGATGGCACAAACAAGTGTCCACGAATGAGGACAACAGGTCTAAGTTAAGTAGAATGAAGTTTAAGATGAAGTAAATCCAAAATGTGACGTCCACATATGAGGACACAGGGTCTCAGGAGTACGGAAGCGTATTGCATTCACTTGACAAATAAAAAAAGGCCTGTTTTTCTGAGTAATTTTTTTTGTTTTTCGTGGTAATTTTTTTTCCTGAACGATGAAACAAGATACTTCAAAATCTCGCGAGAAGCTCCCACCTGGCACCTGCAAGTGACTGGTGCCTGCGTAAAGTCGACAAACTAATGATAACACCATCTATATGACTTAAAGACAAGAGTATCTCCCAGTGTCTCAAACCCAAAACAAAGTAAAACTGGATTAAACTAAACAAGCGGGTCATGTTTGCTTCCATTATATCGAGCTCTCAAGAAAGGAATGAAAGCGTCTGTTGTTCTATTGCTCTCTTAACTCAGAAAAAAATACTCAGAAAAACAGAAAAAAAATTACCATGAAAAACAGGGAAAAAAAAACACAGAAAAACAGAAAAAATTACTCAGTAAAACAATACGCTTCAGTACAGGAGGATATGGATGTTGCTGCAAAGATTTGATTATTGCTAATTATTGCTTATTAAATCAAAAGATGGGTCAACCACAATAGGGAAGTAATGGTGAAATCACAATTTAAAAAATAATTCCTCTCCTTTTATGGGCCAAAATTGTTTGTAAATTTTGTGGTTAACTACACAAAAAAATGTAAACACTATGCAAATTTAAATGTAGTACAAAAATGAATTCAAACTACTACTCCTCAACACTGGTACTTGTTTAATGTGATATTCTCACTGGTTAAATCCTTTTTTGGTTGGGTGTGAATATTTCCGACAGCCCCTGAAGGCAGCATCCCACTCCTGGCTGCCCCCCCTCCTGCTCCGAGTGAAAACTGAGATAGTGAGGAGGAAAAAGCGACGGGAGGACAGACAGACCGTGGAGGGAGAAAGCTGGATGTATTAGCTTCTCTGCTACTTTAGGACACATTTTTCCTTCTTTCGTTTCCGCCTGTTGAAATCAAAGCGCCTCGATGCGGCGGTGTGTGTTTTGTGTGCTGGGAAAACGTCGTAAATCTTAACATTCAAACATTCACCGACAGTCTGACCGCGGACGGTTAGTTAGCACGACCCGACGAAAGTTAGCCTGCTCCGGCTAACTTAGTTAGCCTGCTCCCAGCTAGCAAGACAAGACAAAAAACAGGCTAGTGGAAAAAGGAGTGGGAAAGTGGCGCTGCGGCGGAAAGTATCTCGTAATGTTGCCTCCCGGGATTAACTTCAGATACGGATGAGAAAGAAGTTGGCGAGTGGGGAACACCGAGAACAACCGACGGCCACTGATATGTTGGGGGTGATTCACGGCTCTGGCAGCCCGCCTGAGTCCCGAGGTTGGCCACACTCGGTGCTGTGGAGGCTCGGGGGCTTCTTCTTCCTCCTGCTGCTGGAAGGGGCCGGCTGCCTGGCCAACCCGAGCAGCACCTCTGGCTTCAACAACAACAATAACAACAACCCGAGTGTCAACATCTACATGAGCGTCGAGGAGGTGAAGAAGCTGCTGGGTAAGAAGGCCTACATGTAGAGTCAGCTGTCTGCAAACTTTGTGACCAGTGACTGAGTCAGGGTTACTGCCAAGATGGGCACACACACACACACACACACACACACACAGGGGATTTACTTTGAAATATTGGTGCTTAACCTAAACATTAAGAGTAGTGGAAGAAGTATTCAGAGCCTTGAGTAAAAGTACTAATACCACACTGTAAGTGTCAATATCACACTTAAAATACTCTGTCACAAGTAAAAGTCCTGCAAAATCTCAGCATCAAAATATACTTAAAATTGCAGCAGTGAAAGAAGTATCCAGATCCTTTACTTGAGTTAAAGTACTTATACCACTCCGTAAAAATACTCTGTTACCAGTCCTGCATTCAAAATATACTTAAATTACAGCGGTTGGAGAAATATTCAGATGCTTTACTTAGGTAAAAGTGTTAATACCACACTGTAAAAATACTCTGTTACAAGGAAAAGTCCTGCATTCAGAGTCTCAGCATCAAAATATACTTAAAATGCAGCAGTGGAAAAACGTATCCACATCCTTTACTTAAGTAAAAGTGTTAATACACTGTAAAAAATCTCTGTTTCAAGTAAAAGCCCTGCATTGAAAATCTTAGAATCAAAAGATACTTAAAGTGCAGTGGTGGAAGAAGTAGCCTGAACTTTTACTTAAGTAAAAGTACTAATACCACTCTGTATAAATACTCTGTTACCAGTCCTGCATTCAAAATATACTTGATGTGCAGCGGTTGGAGAAATATTCAGATGCTTTACTTATGTAAAAGTGTTAAAACCACATTGTAAAAATACTCTGTTACAAGTAAAAGTCCTGCAAAATCTTGGCATCAAAATGTACTGAAAAGGCAGTGGTGGAAGAAGTAGCTTTTACATAAGTAAAGGTACCAGTACCACACAAAAGGTATTCTGTCACAAGGGAAAGTCCTGCATTAAGAATCTCAGCATCAAAATATACTTAAAAGGCAGCAGTGGAAAAAAGTAATCAGGTAAAAGTATTAGCAATAGCACCACACTAAAATGACTTACAACTAAAAGTCCTGCAAAGTCTTGGCATCAAAATATACTTGAAGTACAGCGGTGGAACAAATATACAGATTCTTTACTTTAAGTCAAAGTATTAATACCACACTAAAATTATTCTGTCACAAGGAAAAGTCCTGCATTCAGAATCTCAGCATCAAAATATACTTAAAAGGCAGCAGTGGAAAAAAAGTACTCAGATCCTTTACTTGAATAAAATGACTAATACTACATTGTAAAAATACTCAGTTACAAGTAAAAGTACTGCAAAAGCTTAGCAGAAATATATGCCCTAAAGTGCAGTGTTGGAAAGAAGTATTCAGATCCTTTACTTGAATAAAAGTGTTAAGCAGGACTGTATAAGTAAAAGTTCTGCACTGAAAAATGTTACTGAAGTAAAAGTATTTTACTGTCAGCAGAAAAATGCACTTGAAGTATTAAAAGTAAAAGTACATAATAAAAAAAAATCCTCACTGATGAGAAGCTGGAAACAATCCTTTTTTACATAAAAATGACTGAAGGGATCGAAAATATTTCTGTCAATCAACTTATTATTATTGTGCTTAAAAATGTCAGCTGTACTTTAGGCCTTTCTGAACAATCATATTTTATAAACTCTTTTTACGTTTTAAAAACCTAAATTTGTAAAGTAACTAGTAACTAAAGCTGTCATTCATTTAATGTAGTGGAGTAGAATTATGAAGTAAGATGAAAAGAAAAGCCTCAAGTAACGTTCAAGTGCCTCAAAATTGTGATTAAGTACAGTACTTGAGTAAATTTACTTGTGCCAAAAGTAAAAATACTCATTCTGCAGAATGGATCATTTCAGAATAATATATTAGATTATCTGATGATAGTTTTTGATGCATTAATGTGTCATTGTTGCAGGTGGTTAAGTTGGAGCTGATTTCAACTGTTTTATAAACTGCTGGTAGCATAATCCATGATAATATAATTTATTAGTATCTTGTAACTAATGTTGTCAAATAAATGTATTGGAGTACAGAGCACAGCATTTGCCTCTAAAATGTAGTGGAATACGAGTATAAAGTACAAGTACCTCATAATTGTACTAAAGTAAATGTACTTCGTTAAATTCCACCACTGCATATTAAGAGAAAATGAAAGTAATGATAAATACAAGTGTTGCAAAAATCAAGAGACAAATGTAGAATAGAAATAATGATAATAAATCAACAAAAAAATACTAAAAAGGGACAATATATCTGAATAAAAATGAAAGAGTGGTGCGGGTTTTTCTTTAAGAAGTGGTAGTTATGTGCAGAAATATTGTTGAAGGAATGTGCAGAAGTGTTGTGATGCAGTTGTGTCAGTGTGTCCCTCACATCTGCACTGTAGGGAAACATTACAACCTACACTCATTGTGTTTAAAGAGCAGCCGTAGTGTTAAATACAACATGAGTCCATCTTAATTTGTAAATGCTCCCTGGCCCTCAGTGCAGTGTGTGACTTTGAGCCAAAATGCACAAGTTATGTTGTAAATCTGCAAAGTTAGCCATGATGAATAAATGAAAAAGTCACATTTAGCGTCAGAAATTGCAAATTTGTCATGACGAAGTAATGATGACATAACGGAAGAAAACAACATCACTTCTTATTTAAAATGCCTCATGCTGTGTGTGTACATAAAATTAATGTTTGCCATTAAATGGACCTCACACTATCACAGACATAGTTGACATGTGGGCAGTAATTGACTTGTATGAGCCGTGCTGTTGATATTAGCACCACTACAGTGATTAAGATGTAATACATGACAAATACTGTGCATATCATATCATGTGTGGATCTTAAATATTATTTAATATTCTCTCATACAATAAAACTCCAAAGTTCCATGATTAAGAAAACAGGCTTGAAACTGTTGTGTGTTTGGACGCTGGGCTGCATCAGCAAAGGTATGCTGATGTGTCATCAGGAATTTTAGACAGGGGGAAGTGACTAAGCCATACATTAAAAGAGCAACCAGAGCAGGGATGACTGTGGTTGAGTGTCAGAGTTAGGTTTTATAAAGTGAGCTGCAGGGAGGTGAGTGTGGTCCAGGGTGTTCATTGTGCTGTTGGAGTTCATTATGTGGCCGCACAAGATGCAAAGTCTTATGCGTGATTTGGGCCAGGCCATATTGAGCCACTTGTATTTGAGCTTTACTGTACATTAGGGCTGCGACTATTGATTATTTTCATGTCAGTTAATCTGTTGATTATTTTGTTTTTATTTTATTTTATTTTATTTGTAATTTTATTTTTATCAGAGAGAGAATCCTTTCAGCACAATTACACACACAAAAAACATGCACAATAACATGTGACGCATATATCCCTGATACAATAGCACCGAAACATATTCTCCCATCTATTGCGCTCTCTTTCCTTTTACAATATGCAAAATAAGAACATCTGAACAAAGGATGTCACACTTTTCCAAACCTTCATCACTCATTTTTCTATGGAGATCTACTCGCAGCATCTTCTTCCTCAGTTGTCTCAATAATTCATAGTCTGGTACTTCAAATCATGTAAGAAGGTACTTAGATCAGTTCTGATCTCCGTGAGCTTATATATTTGATCCATTTTGACCACCATCTCTTGAATTTCTCTGATTGTAGTTTTGAAGGGAACGTCAGTCTCTCCATGGTATAGATTTCATGAACAGTTCTTTGCCAGTCTTCCAGTGTTGGTGTGTTTGGTTGTAACCACCTCCTTGTCACAGCTTTCTTCTCTCCAATCAGTAATATGCTCATTAAATATCTATCTGCTATCGATTGGGTGTACAATGCCATGGTACCCAGATACATTGACAGGACATCAAATGGAATAATAGTTTCAAATATGTATTCCAGACATTCATGAATGTCATACCAGTAAGACAAAAGTTTCGGACAGTTCCCAAAATAAATGATCATGGTTGGCTAAATTTGAACCAAACATCCTCCAACAATTTGTTCCAGCCTATTTTCTTGTTTCATTGATTTGTTGTTTTTGTCCCACAATCCAAAGGTAGTCAGTTTACGGTCATAGAGAAGTAAATAAACCAGAAAATATTCACATTTAAGAGGCTGAAATCAGAGGTTTTTGACTCTTTTTTTTTTTTCTTAAGAAATTATTCAAATAAAACACTCCAGGGCTGCATCTAAGTATTGTTTTCATAATCGTTATATCTGCCCAGTATTCTATCCAATAATTGATTCATTGTTTTGTCAATAAAATTGGAGAAAATAAACACATCCTGCATTCTTTGCCAGAGCCTGTGGTGGTGTCTGCAAATGTTTTTTTTTATTTTGTAACTAACAGTCTAAAAATCAAAGCATTTTACTTTATTATCATATAGGCCTATGGCTAGGGTTACAGCGATATTCAGGTTTTAAGGTATATTGTGACGTGTGGATTGATGATTATCATCAGGGCTGCAACTCGTGTCGTTTATTTCTTCGATTAGTCGACTAATCATTTTATCGAAAAATGTGTTAAAATGTTGAAAAATGTTGGTCTGTCTCTCCCAAACCCTAAAATTATGTCATCTAATGTCTTGTTTCGTACTCACGCCAAAGGGTTTTTGTTCACCGTCATGGGAGAGTGTGTAAAGCTGCCAATATTTGAATGTAAGAAGCTTCATTAAGAGTATTTTGGGGTACTTTTATAGTACTTTTCTATGAAAAATGACTCAAACTGATTAGTCGACTACTGAAATAGTCACTGATTATTTTAATAGTTGTTGCAGCCCTAATTATCATATCGTGTCCATTTGCTTATCTTTGATATTAGAAAAAATGTCAACTATATTTCAGTCATTTTCAAAAGGGAGACTTTATGTACATACTTCCATTTTAAAAAAAGGTTTCAAGTTTCAATTATAATACAACTTTTGTCCAGCTAAAGATAACCCTTCTGTTTTCATTCCCTTAAGGGTCATTCTGACTGATAATAATATAAATTCTGTAATA